CTGAATTACAATTTGCCCATAATGTGCGCCTGCAAGAAGCATGATCATCAAATACGGTCACTGTGGAACCACAGAAGGTGCCTTGTTGATGACCTTAGGGTGCAGCTCAAGCTATATGGGAACAATGATTCTGTAAGTAGCTTGAGTCTGAGCAATTGCTATGGCCCATGCAGGGATGGGGGGAGATTTTTGCCTCCCAAAGGTTAATAAACTACTTTTCATTCCAGGGACTGTTACACTGTTGTGTTTTCCAGTCTAGAATAGCACAGCTATTTTTTTTCTGAAGTGTTTTGGCTTTGGTGGGCTCAATTACCATCCTGGTACAATGCTAGGAGACAAGCTGGCCTCTACGAAAGGATAACAGGGTAAAGGAGGCCAAACCTCAAGGGGAGGAAGGGGGAGCTTTTTCTTAAACTTCAGTGAAACTTTAGTGTCTCATGCCACATCACTGACATTTCCTTTTGTATTTATAGGAATAGGTTCTATATGTTTTAAACACAGTAATTGATATAATTAGCCAAGAGTAGTGTGATCTTTAATATGTTTGAGCTGTAAACATTATCTTTTCCTTTTAGGAGCTGTTTGTACAGTATTTAGCTACTAATTAGCTTTTTCTTAAACTTCAGTGAAACTTTAGTGTCTCATGCCACATCACTGACATTTCCTTTTGTATTTATAGGAATAGGTTCTATATGTTTTAAACACAGTAATTGATATAATTAGCCAAGAGTAGTGTGATCTTTAATATGTTTGAGCTGTAAACATTATCTTTTCCTTTTAGGAGCTGTTTGTACAGTATTTAGCTACTAATTCCTACAAGCATGGCCAGGGCAAGGAGCACAAAGCCCTAACATATACTGACCTTTCACAAACTGTAGAGAATTCTGAAACTTTCCAGTTCCTTGCAGGTAGGTCTTTACATTGCTGGTAACATAACTAGGGTGAAATAATCACTAAAATGGGGAAAGGGGACTGTGGAATGTTCGATTTCAGTCTTTATAAGCTGTTAAGACTTTCAGGCTATATTTTTATTTATTAATGGGAGATGAGCAGGCAAGTGGTCAAGAATCCCAACCCTTGTTCACTTTTTTTTTTTTAACAGTTGAAGTTGAGAGTTTTTTCAGATATAGCCGAGTTAAGGATTAAGTTGATGATCCACTTTGCTGGGAAGCTTAGTGGGTGCTCTGAGGCCTTTTTCTCACCAACCTCCTCAGGGTTGTTCTGAGGATAGGCAAGAGAACCTTATATTAGCTGTTTTGTACTTAATCTTAGAAGGCATTTGATAGTTGGTATTAGCACCTTTCTAGATTTCCTCCAAACCATAGTAGCTAGAGAATTTGTGTAGGATCTTTTTATACCATTGTTCTTCTCCTTGGGATTATTAAGTCTCATCTTGCCTCTGTGGCTGTTTTATAGTTGGTCTTTATTACAGTAGATCATAATTGAGAAAGACCCTGCAAGAAAGAACTATGCTCCTTTTAGTCTTACTGTGTCCTAAATGGATCAAGGTATGAACATCACTCTAGAAACATGATTGATTTGATTGCTTACAATGAAAGTTTGAGAATTCATGAAACGTACAAGGGTGGTAAGCGATTCTAAGTGTGGGACAGACTGCAGGCTACACAGACCATAGGCAACTGAGCAGGGACTGACTGGGCTGCTGTCTTCATGGCCAGGTGTCCTGACTTCTGACTGGTGTTTAGCTGAGCTGGTTTCCCATTGGTGCAGGTCGGTGAGGGCTGGCCCACCTTGCCTCTGAAGATGCCAGCTACAGTTGCCAGCAAAATATCAGGAAATCTATTTTCTAGACCAGTCATTAAACCTGGAGCCCGATCCTGCCCAGCAGATACTGGCTGTGAAAGCCTTCATCAATATAGTGGAACAGACTGTTATTTTGTAGTGTCAGGAGTGGATCTGGAGAGAAAATGGATGTGGGAAAAAAGAAAAGAGGTGAATGAAATGAAAGTATATGAATGTAGCAAAGGAAAAAGCAAATCCTGTCTGAAAAAGAATTAGTAGATTAATCTTCCAACAGCATGAATGGAAATTAGATGTATGGAAAGAGGATGTGGAAATTCCTTGGAGCAGAGTAAATATTACAGAGAAGTATGTGGAGTTATGCTAATATGAAGTATGAAAAAAGATCTTTGATGGAATGATGAAATGAAAGGGACTCTGGATAAGAAAAAAGTGCTTATGAGAGAATGATAGCAAAAAAATGGGGATGATAGAAAGATATTGTTTCGTGGATATAAGAGAAAAATATAATTGCAAAGAATGTAATCAAAGAGAGCAAGAAAATTTTAGTATTAAAAAGACAGAGAAATGCAAAGTAATTTTGACAGAAATAAATATGTTTTGAAAAGTGGATGAAAAGGGCTAAACAAGGAATCTCCAGCAAGGTGCACAGAATTAACAGTAGAAGCTGAAATTATTTTTGATGGAATTAAAATAAGGGAGCGTTGATAGTTTTAAAGATGTGCAGAACAGATTTTTGCTCTTCAGCACATCATTTAGAATTATATGAATATGAGAAAGTTTATGCCTGTTGATTTAGAGAAAGTGTGTGAAAAGGCGAATAGGTTGGTATTATGAAAGATTGTGCACAGATATGGAACTGAGGATGGTTGAATGTAGTAATCATGGAAGTAAATGCTTAGCAAATGGCCTAACATTCAGCCAGGAACAAGATAATGATACAGGATGTCCCTTTGATTATTTAATTTATTTGTAGCTAAATCCACAAAGACTGCTTGTGATATTGTTAGAGATGTGTTGGTTGGGGACATGAATGTATATCAACGCCAAGTTGTCTGAGAATTGAAATTACTTGCAGTCATTATTAGGTAATATGATGCAACAAAGAGTAAAAATCTGAAAATTAATGTATCACAGACTGAAGTAGAGAAAATGGAGTTTAGATTATAGAGCAAGTATGATAAATTTGTGTACCTTGACAGAAAGTTTACTGAAAATGGGGAAATAGATGGAGAAAGTTTAAGATATACAGATAGTCCTCGCTATCTGGCCATTCGTTCAGCAACCGTTCAAAGTTACGATGGCACTGAATGAAGGAACTTATGATGTGACCCAAAGTTATGGTGATCTGGGCCCTTGGCAATCGGTTCGCCCTTACGACCAGTTGCCAAGCACCCCACGATCATGTTATCACTATTTGCAATCTTCCCTACCGCCAGCTGGGAAAGTAGCCAGCAGGGAAGGTCGCAAGCTGCTGATGCCTGTCAAGGACTCCCTTTCGTGTCTGAGGGCTGCCTGAAAAAGCTCCATGCCAAAATCCAAGCTCTGTGTGCTAAACTCCCCATGCCAAAATCCTCCTTGGATTTCAGCACAAAGGTTTTTCAGGCAACCCGCAAACCCCTGTGTGAAGCTGGGGCATTTTCGGGCAGCCCCCATGGGGCATTTAGTGAATGGAGCTTTGGGGGCTGCATGAAAAAGCTTCATACGGAAAATCCAAGCAAGATTTTCAGCCACGGAGGATGGGGGAGGGAGTGAAGGGGTGCATGGGGGTGTGTGGGAGGGCTGGGTCAGATGTGCGGCAGTGTGGTGCAGGTCGGATACTGACCCTCCCACACACCCCCATGCACTCCCTTCCCTATCTGGCAGCGCCTGGGGCTTGCAACTTCCTTCCAGCTTCCCCACTGACTTCATTGTGGGAAGCCAGCGAGAACTTGCCTCACCTAATGAACTAGGGCATTCACTTAATGATGGCAACTGGGACTGCCAGGATTGCGGTCGCTAAGCAGTGCGGTAACGTGATGTTTCACCTAACAACTGCATCACTTAGCAACCGAAGTTCCGGTCCCAGTTGTGGTCAGGTAGCAAGGACTATCTGTAAAAATACTGGTGGAAATGTCCTACGTCTGTTGTGAGAAACAGTTGAAAAGTTGCAAAATACTTGTGTTTAAGGGTGTGCTGCTGCCCATTTTGTAATATGGAAGTGCTAGCTGGATATGTCAGGAGAAATGTAGAAGTTGAATAAAGTGCAGTTGGGTTACTTAACTATGTGTGGTAAAAGAAGAGATAGGATAGGAATCAATGGGTACGTAGACAGAATATCAAAAGTAATAAAGGAGTGTGTTGAACTGTTTTAATCACGTAGAGAAAATGAATGAGGATCGAATAGTAAAGCAAATATATGAAGGAAGAGTGGAAAGAGCTCAGGAGGAAAGGGAAGATCAAGAAAGTTGCAGTTGGAAGAGTTTGGGAAATTCTCTAAAAGAAGTGAGAAGTTTAAAGAAGAAAAGGCAATGTATGGGCAGGGTAGGAGCAATAATACAAACAAGATGAACTGAATTGTACCTAAAGTGCTTCAAAGTTTGTATCAGCATAGGAATGTGATTTCAGTAAAGAACTGGGGTTTGTATTCAAATCTAATCTAATTTTCCCTCAAGAGCTTTTAGTTGTGACAACCTATTTTAGGGGATAAAAACACTTTGTTTCCCTTATTAAAACTATTGAGAATTGGAAATCATTATTTGTTGCAAATCTCTGGTAGATCCTGCAAATAAATAAATTAATGGTATATTAGGATCTATTGGCAATTTTATCTCACTTTCTTGTGTAATAATTGTGTACAATTATCCATCATCCATGACAGTTTTAGGTTTATAAGATACATTTTTCATTGTTTTATTTTTATTAGAGCCAGACAAAAAATAATTTTGTACAATTATTTTTTGTCTGGCTCTAGTAAAAATAAAACAATGAAAAATGTATCTTATAATCCTAAAACTGTCATGGATGATGGATATGCTAAAAATTAGGTTGCTCAAACTGTGTCCCCATCAGAGTTCTCAAAAACCATTTTATAAGTTGTTTTTGAACTTATTGCTTTTTATTATTTCTATCTATCCATCCATCCATCCATCCAGAAGAGTGCAGTGCTAGCAACAGCTCAGATCCTGCGCGGAACCCAGATAGATAGATAGATAG